TTTACATATTTTTTATTTTTTATTTGCATAAAACATGCGTAACTTAGGTATTTATTTAGAACCAAATATCAGTTACAACGAGGGTGTTTCGTGCAAACTTTATATTAACAAAATTTGGTAAAATACAAAATATTTTGTGTATTTTTACTAAAATACAAGGAGGTGTTATATAATTTATCCTTTAAAAATTGATACAATGGTCTTTATATAGAAACAATGGGACGGGAAGACAATGCACTTACTATAGTAAATTGGCAACACATTCTCATAAAAAATATATTTTTAATACAATTAATTGCTACATGTTTTCATACATTTATATTATCAACACATCAATAATGGCAACATATTTTCAAAATTATATGATCAATATCATAATAGTTGATAACAAGTTCTCAAAAGAATATGTTTCTAAAATTGTAATTAATTATAATATATTGTCAAAAAAAGATGTAAGTAATGATATCAATATTTATGATGTAAGCAATGACATCATCATATGTCTTTAAATATTTTTAGTTTGTATAACGATATAAGCAATGCCATCGTCACATGTTTTCAAATACTTTGAGTTTGTATAATCTTTGTAAGCAATTACATCATCACATGTTCTCAAATATTTTGAACTTGTATAACCGTTAGGTTAAGGCCTATGAGTATTCATGTTTCATCCGGGTGTATATTTTTCATCTCAAGCTTTCAGATTGAGTCAAAAAATTGATCTTGAAGTTTACGAACTCCACTTCGGGTAATTGATCCAAGTGTTTGAGATGGTATTTGAACGTCCACGTTAATATATAAGATAGATCTTGTATTGGAAAGATGAAATTGTCGTTTATTTAAAGTGTGTTTGTTTAGAACTTTGAATTTTGCGTTTCGATTGATAATATTTTGTATTTGAATAGGTGTTTGATGATATATAAAAAAGAGTTGAAATTTTTAATCGTAAATTAAATTTTTAATGTAATATAAAAAAATAAAAATTAAATATTTGATTTTATATTTTTAGAAAAATATTTTTTATGAATAGCAAAAATATAGTAAATTTTTTAAATTAACACACCATAATATAATATAATTGTGAGGATCACTCTAGTTCAAAATGTGTTAGTCTTGATTTCCATCTATGTTAAGCAACTGTTACGTCTAACTATGAGTGTTTGCACATAATAAGATTAGTGTGTTCAAAATTTTATTTGAAAATATGTTGATGGTAGGAGTATGTTGAATAAATCGATTAAAGTAATCATTAAAATTTAATTTACAGAAAATTAATTTCAGTATTTTTCAAAATCGATTTATCGATGAGTTAAAATGTCTTGACCAACTTGAATTAATTAATTGGGCTTAAGATATAATTAAATAGACCAAGTCATTTGAATTATATATCAGTATTGGGCTAATTAGTTAAATAGTTGTATAATTAACTAATTAATTCTAGGTTTTTTTTTCTCACATTGTTTAAAATATTATTTAATAATGTATTTAAATATTAAAATGTGTAATTAAGGTGACAAAAATTATGGTTGGAGCACGTGAGTGCCACTAAGCTACACATGCGCCGCCCATATGGGCTTGACATGTATACGTACATGGACTTAAATGTCGAGATGTAGACTGTGAAACTATGTGAACTATAATATTTGATAATTGTTTAGTTTGATGATGTCAAATTTTGTTCCAAAGCTTAACGTCCAATCCAATTTTCCCTTTTTTTTTTTTTTTTTCTCGAGAGATGAAACCAAGCTGTAATGGCTTGAAACAAGTTTTATTGGATAAAAGCCTATTCGTTAGAAAATCCAGCCGTATGATTACATTAATTCCAACAGAAAATAAGATGACAATCATGGCAACTGTTATAGTAATTGATCATGCCGTTTTTCTTTTTAAATTATATATATTAAAAAAAATGTGAATTATATAGTTTTAGTTAAATGAAAACCACTAAAAATATTGAGTCAAATACATCATAAATGAATATATAGCCACTTTATTAATTTTTTTTTATAATTTAAATGAAACAATTCTTTTAATAATTTGTTCATTTAATATTTATTTTTACAGATTATATTATATTTTAGGAGCACTTGGATTTAAATACTTCTGAGCTAAAATACATTTAGATTCAGTCCCTTCTCATTACGAAAGAGCACTGCACTCCCTACTTTAGTTTACACTTGACTCCCTAGTACCAATTTTACCCCTGAAATTATAGTATAATATAACAAATGACATATGTACTCTCGTTATTTTGATATAAACCTAAGTTATTTAATTACATACCTCAAAATTATCTCGTTGTACAAAAAAATGTTAGAGCAATGTGCCTAAACTTTGTATTTATATACTAAAATTAGTTACAAAAATTTAAACCCAAAAATAAAATAAAATTCTAATAAAATCCACCATTTCACGTTGTTGATAGATTTATTTCTTCAAAACACATCCCCTCCCACTCTACCTTTCGCTATCGAAGCACCCGATGAAACAATCGCCGTCGAGCCTCCCCGAAGAAATCTTTGCCATCGCCGGAAGTCTCCCTTACTTCCGAGAGCTTTGATCCCGTTCGAAATGTCGAAAAAGACTTCATCCCCAAAGCAACGTTCGAAAAAGTAAGTTAAAGTTTATATTTTTATAGAATCGATTTTTTGAGTTTGTGATGTGCTCAAATCCATTTTATGTGTGCCTTGTCTGAGTTTGTACAAGTCTCGGTCCCAGATCATTTTACTTTGCTATGTATTGCAACATCGGGTCGATTATGAGTTATTTTAATGTATTTGAAATTGTAAATGTTCTTTGTGTCTATAAAAGTGTCTTAATTTGTATTTTGTAGGTTTATATTTGTAATAAAATGATTAAAATATGAGCGGGAGTAGGAAGACAAGGGAAATACAAGAATAAGAAGGATAAACAAACAATTAAGATTAGTAAAATATTTCTACGTAACTTTGTTCTTCTTTGTATGTACTTTCGTTATTCTGTAAAATTCATTACTTCTGCTCACTAAAGTACGTCTATCATTTCTGTATATACCTTCGTTCTTATTGAAAATATTATATAAATAAGATTATATATGACTAGGCATACAATATATCTGTTTCAATTAGCATCTTGTGTAAGTCTTGCTTGATGATGGTGAAATAGGAGATGAACAAACTATTGTTACTTATCCTCGAAGTGGAAGTTGTACGATGTTCTAATTAATATTGTGGTAGATGATGCATTTCTAAAGATGACACCAAAACGACATGCAATTTTCTTGCAAATTTCAATATACGACATGTGCTAGCATGTGTTCTATATATGTATAGTTTTCGAAAATGTCAAACCTTCTAACAGATTGTCAATTGTAGGGCTACTGTATGGAACAATGGATTGGTATACATAACGTCTGAAGCAGTGATGAACCTGTTATTAGATGACTCTTTCCGTGGTGAGATTGACGATGCTATCGATGATGTCAAGGCTTATAGGGCAAAATTTGTTGCAAAGATTTTATGAGGGGTCCCTAGAGGGGCCGTGTAGTACGATTTGTATGTGATTTGTTATGGATAAATTGGAGAATAGCTTTAATTTGTAGCATGTGGTTCTTAATTGGGTACTTAGTCGTTAATGTTATATTTTGCCAAATACTTTGCTGATCACTATACAATCTAATTTAACGTATGATATTTTAAAAGGTTGCCTATATATACCTTTATTTTGGTAATATATATGCTTGTATACTTGATATGTAATCCAAAATTTCTAATATAAATCCTTGTTCATAATTTCTACATTGAGATCACGTGAGAAGATGTACTAAAATAAAGAACACAGAGGTTTTACATGATTAGGTGACGGTGTGTCAACCTACATCCATGGGCAGGAACATGAGAGATTTTATTATACTGATTCAGAGATTTATAATATGTCATCTGACTAAGAACACAATCCAGCTGATATGTTGACAAAGGCGCTACCGACGGAGAAGTTTGAGCACTGCTTGAACTTGGTAAATATTCGTAGGAGGTAAAGCCCTCTCGGGGCATCTGGCAGGAATGAGACGACTAAGAGATATTGACGAACCTTAGCGGTGGGAGAAACTTCAAGTCAAGGTGGAGATTGCTAAAACGTGACTTGGATTTAGCGGTCTACCCGACTCGAAACCAAAGCGAAAGGGCTGTTTCAATTGGCAGGGTCCCTTTTGGGCTTATCCTAATTAATAACAAATAGACTTAGGATTTAGGGTGTTTTGGGGTGCTTATAAATAGACAGCTATGGTTCTTAGTTGGATGACATATTGTAAATCTCTGAATCAATATAATAAAATCTCCCGGTTCCTGCCCGTAGACGTAAATTGACACACTATCACCGAACCACGTAAAACCTCTGTGTTCTGTATTTGCTTTCTTTCTCGTTTTCTCGTAACAATATATATATATATAAACATTTTCTATGAGAGATTTTTGTTAAAAAAAAAAATTACAAATTTGCAAAGGACAAGCTAGTTGTATTTCTTGGGAAAGTGGGCGCACAATTTATTTCACGGCTATGATTAGGCCACTTGTAGAATTCAAATTTTATGTATATATTTAGAATTTTTATAGTACTATTTATTAATATTATTTTAAAATATTGTTTTTCTAAAAAAGATTATATTAAATATTTATTATATTTTTTATTCTTTAAAATTTTTAAAACTGCTGTTAATAAAACACTTAACAGATGAAATGAGCTGAGTTGTGTTAGTTTAGTTGGGTTAGAATTAAATTTTTTTATTTAAATTTTAATTCAAATAATATTTTGGAAGACTAAATAATAGTACTATGATTTTATTTGTATACGACTTAATATTGTAGTAATATTTAGTTTAAAATCCAAACAAACACAGCAGGTCCACTTACGAATTCTGTTCCTCGTGCTCTGTTTTTTAGAGTTACCATTTACAGCCTCCATTTGGAATACGCTTTAAAAGGAAAGGTGGAGTCCATTTTAACCTACGCTACGAATCTGTAAATTTGATTCTCCTTTGATAAAGACTCCTCCTCCTATTCTCCTCTCGGTATAAATATAAAATAATTTTATTTGTATCTGCGCAGATAATTTTGCGAAGAAGAAGAAGAAAGGGGATTTCGATTCTCCCCTCCCTTCCTTTCCCTTCCCCTTGTTCGTTCCTTTTGCCTCGCTTCGGAGAAATGGGGAGGCGCAAGCTGGAGATTAAGCGAATCGAGGACAAGAGTGCCAGGCAGGTTACGTTTACAAAGAGGAGAAACGGATTGCTGAAGAAAGCCAGGGAGTTATCGATTCTGTGCGATGTCGATGTCGGAGTGATCATCTTCTCCAGCAGGGGGAAGCTCTACCATTACTGTAGCACCACCAGGTCACTACTACTCACTACTCACTAGTGTTTTTTTTTTAATTTGATTTTTAATTTGTGCTGGTTTTGGTTTATCTATTTTTACATCTTCCTTTCCTAGAACGAGAATTCCTGATCTCCGTGTTCTTCGTAGCGATTTGCGTTGTTTTCTGGTTTGAGGAACCCTAATTTCCGAATTACCCAAAATAGAAACGGGTGAGCATAAATAGTGTCTGCTGTTTTTTTCTTTTTGTTCTTTTGATTTACTTTTTGGTTAAGTTTCTCGTGCGCTCATTTTTCTATGCGCATATGTCTCGTCTTTTAGCTTACCCGTGGGTTGATTAACCTGGCTCAAACCACTGAACATTTTTCTCGATCTTCTCGAAGTCTTTTTGTAATTTTCCGGCGAGTGTCTGTCTGACTTGGGAAACAGTAGTTGCTCAGAGTGTAGATGTGCACCAATTTAAGCCATATATATATATATATTATATATATATAACAGTGACTAGTTTGCTTGTTCGACACTTTGCCAGAGAGATATATGACGTGCCGTTTTTGTGAGTGTTTGTTCGGCTACGTGTTTCGCAACCTGCTGCGTGCCAACTGCTTAGTGGGGAACTGTTCCAAATAGGCTAAATCTCACATATATATATCGAGTCAAAATGGAGATATCCCTTACGGAAATCCATGAAAATCGTTTGGATAATCTTGCCGATAGTTTCTGCCTGTTGGTGGACAATAACTTCGTATGATTACTGTTTTATGTGATCATTATTGTCATTTTATGCTCTGAACTGCATCTACTTGTCTGGTATGTGTTAAGCTTAACTATTATGTTGTTCTTTTTGTTTATTTTTCTATTTCATTCATTATCCAATTTTGCTTTAGTTTAGTTTTATTGGAATCTTTATGTCGTGTTTTTCCATTCCATAGCTCCAAACGAGGATGTCAAATGTTTATTTTATTAAACTCTTGCTTATAGAAACTAGGTGGCAAGGTGATATACTAGCTACTCAGTCCTATAAACTTATGGATGTTATTAGAGATTTGTTACCATATTTTAACTAATGAAAGAACTAAAAGTTAATCTAAAATTCCAATCTATTTTTCATTGGTTTTGATAGGATATCTTATGTAGAAAATCGTTGTAATTGGTTTCAAATAACTTAGTTGTAAATATACTTATATAAGGTTAAAATTATTCTTCATTCTGCACTACAATGATATTAGAGCTTTCATTTCACACCTACTATATATACATATATATGTGTGTGTGTGCGCGCAGTGTTATTGTATGAGTGCAACGTCTAAAGATAACACGCATAATAATAAATACATAGAATAATCTTATATCACTAAAGTATGTTGCCAAAGATAGATGAGCTGCTTTTCTTCTTAAATCGAATATTTAAGTTTAAAGTGTGATCGTGATTACACTAGGACAGATTACTAAAGCAAATATTAAAAATATGGAACATTTTGGGTACACGAGTTGCAATACTGAGTAAAAATTGGGTACCTTTTTATTAAAGATTGACTTTGCATATCTGAATATAATGAAATAATGAGTGCCTGAACATAAGTCAGACTCAAAGAATGCTTACATAATGCTAATTAACCAAAATATTCACTGATGAAAAAATTCAAGTGCCATTTAGAGTTGCAATAACCTGAAACACAAGTTTGGCCTTTTTTTTTTTTTAATTATTTTTTCATGGATTTGAGTAGGGGTGGAAACGGTTCGATTATTTGCAAATATGCAGGTATTTGGTATTTGAACCGAACTAAACAAATACCAGAAATTGCAACAGTATTCGAACTAAAAATTTTGGTTAGCTGAAATTATTAATGTATTCGCAAATAATTTTGAACTGTCGAATTGAACAAATAATTCGAACAGAATCGAAATTAAGAAAAATACATTAAAAAAATTAAATTTTCAGTTAAATAAAAATATTCGCAAATATTTCAAACCATCGAATTGAAACTGAACTGAAATCGAACCAAAAATAATTATTAATATAAATTTTAAAATATAATCATGTAAATATATTTGGTTTAATTAACCGAACCGAAAAAATATCAAAAATCAAAATTGAATCGAACCGAACAAAGGTCATATATACAATATTTGTATTCGAACCAAATTTGCTCGGTTAACCAAAAATTTGATTCGATTTAGTTCGGATCAACGGTTTAGTTTTTGCCCAACCCTAGATTTGAGCATGTTATTTTGTAAAAACCGATTGAATACTCTATCAAACTGAAGATATATGATACAAAATATATGATAAAACACAAAAATTAGGATGGTGTTTGCCTTCATAATGACTTATGTGTGAGAAGTATAAAGACTGGACCGTTGAAAAGTAATGCATTGATTCGAGAGAAATTGAAAAATGTTATGTACACGTATGTCTATCGTATCACCTTGCAAGTATATACGATTTGTCGACGTTGGTGTAATGTGGATGTTTTGTAGTAGGTTCCTTACCTGTATATATATATATATGTATAGGTTGAATATAGAAAAAGAGAACACAGACAATTCGGATCAATCTCCTCCACTGCCTCTCTCCCACTGCCTCTCTCTCCATATATCTATATATATCTTTAAATATTAGATACATTAATTATCACACATTCATATATATTATACTTATATTATTATTCTTACCAACTATATTATATAACACGTTATCAGCACGAGGGCTCTTGCCTATTTTACTTTTGGTAAGTTTTATTTTTATACTATCTATATTATCTATTTTCTACACTATGGAAAATCTTGCAAAATTTTCTTTTAAATCTCTGTCTCTCACCGGCAATAATTTTCTGACTTGGTCCCTGGATGTAGAAATGCATCTGGTTTCTATGGGCCTTGTTCATACAATTGCCAGTGAAAATACGGCTACAAGCCAAGATCGGGCTAAGGCTATTATTTTCATCCGTCATCATTTGGACATTCCTCTACAGTCTGAATATTTGACGGTGAAAGATCCACTAAATTTGTGGAATGAATTGAGGGAGAGATTTGGGCACTTGAAATATATTACTCTCCCGAAAGCCCCACATGATTGGCTTAACCTGCGGTTGCAGGATTTTAAAACTGTTACAGAGTACAACTCTGCTATCCACCAGATTAAATCTCAGTTGAAACTCTGCGGAGAACATGTTACTGAGAATGATAAATTGGAGAAGACTCTTTCTACCTTTCATGCCTCGAATGTTGTGCTGCAACAGCAATATCGTGAGAAAAACTTTCAAAAGTACTCACAGCTCATTGCATGTCTTTTATTAGCTGAGCAAAATAATGAGTTATTGATGAAAAATCATCAGTCCTGGCCCACTGGTTCCAATCCGTTCCCTGAAGCGAACGTGACATTTTCTGAACGAGGCCGAAGACGTGGTAGAGGCTGTGGACGTAGTCGCGGTCGTGAGAGTCAACGCGGTCGATATACCCCTTAAAATCGCCGTAGTTTTGACATTAACAGGATGCAGAGTAAAGCCCAACATGGGGATATAGCCGAAAAGGCTAAACAGGGAAAGAGACAAATCGGCAGTTGTAATCGGTGTGGCATTGAAGGCCATTGGGCCAATACCTGTAGAACAGCCAAACACCTAGCCGATCTTTATCAATCCTCACTGCAGAAAAAATGGAAGGAGGTCGAGACTAATCCCGTTGATAACGATGACGACCCCGATGATGATCTTTTGGATTACGACACAACGGATCTTGATATAGCGGATTTTGTCGTAGATCCAGCAAACCCCCAGTGATAGACATATTATGTCATTTTACATTATATTTTGTAATATTTAAATTATCACATACTACTTTTTTGTAATGTATTTTGTAATTCTTATATCCGTCTCTATTAATACTGCGTTTATTTATATTTGAAGGTTAAATGGATGCCAAACAAAATGATGCAAATATGTGTTTCATTGACAGTGCAACGACACATACCATATTGAAACACGAAAAATATTTTTCCCATTTGAAAAGGGAAGGAATGAATGTCAATACAATAAGTGGCAGTGCAAAATTAATTGAAGGCTCTGGAGAAGCCATTATATTTCTCCCCGCGGGGACGAAAATTGTGATACAGTATGTACTGTTGGCCACTAAAGCTCGAAGAACTCTACTGAGCTTTCATGACATCCGGAAAAATGGTTATCACATTGGAATTATGAGTGATAACGATGGTGAATTTTTATTGATCACCGATATCATTGATAAAAGGAAATGCATCATTAAGAGATTATCCTCACTCTCTACTGGTTTATATTATGCCAGATTAGGTGTTGTTGAAACACACCTCACGGCATGATCGCCTTGGGCATCCTGGCAGTATAATGATGAGGCGAATAATTGAGAATTCGCATGGCCATTCATTAAAAGGTCAAAAAGAGTGAAAATTCAAATGAGTTAACATGTGTTGCCTGCACTCAGGGAAAATTGATAACCAGGCCATCGCCAGCTAAAGTAGGTATTGAATCACCTACATTTTTGGAAAGAATACACGGGGATATATGTGGACCAATAGACTCACCGAGTGGGCCATTTAAATATTTTATGGTGCTTATTGATGCATCTACCAGATGGTCACATGTCTGTTTATTATCTACTCGCAATATGGCATTCGCGAGATTGTTTGCCCAAATTATTAAATTACGGGCACAATTCCCCAATAATCCAATTAAGACTATACGTTTGGATAATACTGGTGAATATACATCGAATGCATTTGATGATTATTGCATGTCGATTGGAATTAATGTAGAGCACCCAGTTGCTCATGTTCATACACAAAATGGCCCGGCAGAATCACTTATTAAAAAATTGCAATTGATTTCTAGACCATTACTGATGAGGTCTATGTTGCCCGTTTCAGCTTGGGGGCATGCAATCTTACATGCAGGAACACTTATAAGAATGAGGCCGACAAGCTATCATAGCTATTCCCCAATGTAGTTAGTATTTGGTCACGAACCAAATATATCTCATCTACGTATTTTTG